AACCTAGGAGAAGTAGTAAAGAGCCAAAACTAGAAAAACTCATTACCAAAGATAAGTCAAAATCAGAAGAAGTATGAGTAGAATGAAGACCTTAATGAAAACCATCCTTGACAAATATAAACTGAGGATAGACGAAGTTTTTTTGAGTGATGTAAATAAAAAAATATTTCAAAAGTTGATATCCAAATTAATAAAATCCATGACTCCATGTTTTAATCTCTTACAAAAGCAAATAAATGAATGGTTAGATACTTTACATAGTTATTAAAAAAGAAGATATCAGAAGGCAGAAACTGAAAAACTGGAAGTAAACAATCATCACTTATATGCAAATAGCTAGTTAAATAAAGTAAGATTAATAATATTTTGTATTTATATTACCTTCAAGTATTGATTTTTAATGAATAATTAAGAAAAGGGCATGAAGAATTAAAAGCACACAGTCACTTGTTGAACAAAGGTCAAAGAAAGTTGTAAATATCAGGATGAATTAACTAATGTAATTAAAAAAACAAAGATGCATTCACCTGAAATAAGTGATACTAAATCAGGAAACCCCACTAAAAGAAGAATAAATGTATATGATTACAGTTGGCATTCTGAAAAGATATTTTTCAGCAAAATATTTTATGCCAAATAAATCAATTCAAGCATTTCAACCAACTTGTAAATAATATCATAATGATTCATATTTCTATAATATGACTCCACTAGTCGGCTTGTCGAATTGGATATACAGTTTGGAAAAAATTTTGAAACATAAACAAGAAAAAGAAACAGAAAAAGGCACAAAATCGATAGATAAATCAAAAGATGAAAAATTACTGAATATGAGGAATTATTAATGTATTCAGAAAATAAGGAACAAACTGGGAAAGTATACAAATAGACAAAATTTGGAGAGCAATTAGATTAGAAGAAAAAAACAAAAAATCTTGGAAAACATTGGCAAGGTAAAACCAATTGGAGTTAGTTTTAAAAGAGTCAAGCTGAGATCTTTAAAAGAAAAAGGAAAGCAAATGGAAAAGAAGAAAAAGGAGAAAGAGAAAGAAGAGGAAAATGACGAATAATTTAGTCAATTGATTTTGTAATTTTTCAATAAATTTTGTGAAATTTCAATTTTTATCACAATAATTTTTTTACCAAATTTTTTTCCGTAGTAATTTTTTTTGCCAAATTTTTTCCCACAGTAATTTTTTTGTCAAATTTTTTGCTGCAGTATCAATTTTTTTATTGAATTTTTTGTCACAATTTCAATTTTTTTGCTGAATTTTTTGCTGCAATATTAATATTTTTGCTGAATTTTTGGCCACAGTATCAATTTTTTTGTCAAATTTTTGGCCACAATATGCAAAAATTGTTTTGTTGCAGCATGTAAAATTTTTTTTTGTTGCAATATTGCCAGATTTTGTATCAAATTTTTTTTTACAGTATGTTGATATTTTTAATGCCAAGTGATAGCAATTATAAATAATTTGTCAATCTTTTTATTATTAATTTTTATCAAATTCAACAATAATTCAATAACCAAATGACACAATTTCGATTAGTATACACTCTCTTCTCCTTTATTAAGAAAAAAAAAGTAAGACTAGACTTAAAGGAATATAGAATAAGGACAATACCTTAAAAATGTCGTATCTATTCTTTATTAGCATAAATATTGGGAGATCAAGAGATCTTAGGATCATTTATATCTAATCAACAATACCAATATGCAGTTGAATGATCTCAAGTGGCTAAAGAATATATTACAATAGAACATTAGACAATGGTTCAATTTCTACAGATGGTATTACTTTGAGAAAAACAATATGATACTTGTCAAGTCAACAAAAGTGCATATTGAAAAAAACAAGACTCTTCTTTTTAGACCAAAAGTTTTATAGTTTCCAATGCCTTAACCCATGTTCTAGAGCCCTTCAAATCTCCAACTTATCATTATCCAGAAGAACATCAGTAGAAGATCCTATACTGGATAGAATATGAAAAAAAGGTAAAAAACTGGTAAACAAGAATTACAATATAAAGGCACTGAAAGTAATAAAGAAATAGGCATTGTGCCCTGAATTGATTAAGCTCTTAAAGAGTAATCAACCCATGGTATCAATATAGTAGTAATTATGGGTCTCTAAAATATTTAACATATAAAATTTCACAGATCACTTATGTCCCTTTCTGAGGGACAAAATTCATAGCTTTTCACTTTAATAGGGACAAAAGTCAGGAAATATTATAAATTAATAATTTGAATAATGGAGAACAATTGTGAGTAGTTTTTTAATGGTTATTAATTTAAAAATTTAATATTTCTTAGTGAGGGGCATTTGACTTTTGTCTCTGCCTTCCCTTTAGGGACCCATCTTTATATAATAGTAGTAATATATTTATAAGTCACTCATAATTACACCATTTTTTTTCTTTCATTTGGTACCTTTTTTGTAATACAGAATATTTACCTCTGTTTAAATTTATACAATCTTTAATTTTATTTTTCTTCTCTAAATAGAGACAGCAGAGCAGGATATTGAACAAAATAATAAAATAGATTAGATAGTCTGTAATAAACATAGATTTATTATATATATTAACCCCCTAAGAAATTTTTGTCACCCTAATGGTCCTTATATTAGGTCTCTGTTTGAAGATGGCTCAGTCATGATTTTTATATTTTTTTAAATATTTTAATAAAAACAAGCCATTTTGACATGATGCAGATTAATTAAAAAAAAAAAAGCTTTTAATTGTTTTTGATTAATAATACTTGTTATTAATTTCAATATAAATATTTTAAAGTTTTTATATAAATAAAACTTAGTTGTACTATTAAAAGGATTATATAAAAAAGATTTTTTATCTAACTTATTATAAATATCTTAAAATTTTTTTACCCTAGCAGATTTTAGAATTCTTACTTTTACTTTACTTAAATCAAAATCAATTAATAAGAACTGATTTCATACTACAGATAATAACAAAAAAAGTAAAATACCTTCTTTTGAGATTTGAGTAAAACATATAATGCATTCTATTAAATATATAGTATATAAAAAGAACTAGCTTAGTGAAACAATAATAAACTTGTAGACTTAATACTAACTAGTTTAACTATACCATTGATAATTGTGTATTAACTAGCCAATCCCTAGTTAGGTTTATCTACTTAAGGAGTAATAATAGATCTAACTAAGATAAACTATAATAAGTTATAAATAATCTGTATATATATAGAAATATATAACTTGTATGAGATAATTGATGACATATGATAGAATTTAATTATCTAATAAAAGGTATGCATTTAATATCAGTTTCAATTTAAAAAAAATTTTTTTTAAAAGTTATAATAATAATTATTTAAAAAAGTAAAAATTTAATAATAAAATTTTTAAAGAAAAAAATCAAGATAATAGCAAAAATCAAATAAATAAAAATAATTTAAATAAATTTAACTTGATTAATAAAATTTGAACAAGTTTGATTTATTAGTCAATTGGTATTATATAGATTACGTGTTATAAAGAATTCATAACTACAATGCTATTGTATCTTTATTTGTCACGTCCACTTCCATTTACATAAAGGACTGATATTTCTTTATAGACACTATTTAAGGATTCCAAGGTAAAAATGTTCTCAAAATTTCAAAAATCTCAAAGGTAACCGAAATCCCCAACAATTATTGATAAAGAATCGTTTTAAATTTTCGTACAATTTTCAAATCTATTTTTTTTATAAGGCCGTGAAAACATTAAAAAAAGTTTTTATACATTTTATATTTTATAAAACTACTAATTAATATCGTGAAATTTATGACAAAAGAAAATTTAGGATATTCTCTGAGATTCTATCAACCCGTAAAATTTGGCATTTGAAAATATCAATCGATTAAATGTTACCAAAGATTTTAACCAATTTACATTGCAAAGACGGTAAAAAAAATATCGTTAAATTTTCAGATGCCTCTTGAGAATCCTGCTTTCTCCTGATTTCGTCGCCCTACTAAGCCCGCTGTGATTAGATAACAAACAAAATTGAAGGTTTATGCGTGTGTGCAACAAAATAATGGCGCATTCCCCGGTAGAGAGGCTGTGGTATGGTCTTTTATGATCTTCTAGACTTCTCGCAAAATTATTGTTTGCCGAGAAACGTAAGAAAGTTCGGAAAACTTATCCGTGTGGCAGTGGTTTTTTAATGTGTATGGTGGTCGAATAGAATCATGGTTAGATTATGAATAAAGCCTTGCAATTTTTGTTTAACTTTCTGGAACGTAACTGAAATTTGACTTTGAATTTTGCACGCGACTGTTCATTCATTTTTCAATGAATTGCATCTACGTTTTGGATCGATTGCTTCGCCACGATCACGAGCGGTTTTCTATTATATGTAATCTCAGCAAACATTAAAAAGGAAATAATTAATTAATGAAAGGATCAATTATAAGAATATATAACTAATTAGTGCAGTCCGATTACAAATAAAGAAACCATTAAAGGAAGAAAAGGGTAAAGGTCTTTATCATGGCCCGAGTAAATTTTCTCCTTGTATCATTGATCTTATTGGCACTCGTGCGTTTGAATCAATGTGGAGAACAAACTGATATGCCCGATCTGGTTATTAACGAACGAATATATGCCTTTAATATTAGTATGTATTTCCTAGTTAACTACATATATAACACTTATTGATAATGTATCAATAACTTTGCACTTTGCGAAATCAAAATCAGCTTTCGATTCGACGCGCGTGGTCGGATGTATTACGTTTCTCGACGATAGTCTTCGCCTGTATTTGATCCGAAAAGGAAACACCACATCCCTCGCACAAAGGGTCTTATACGCGAATGGTTCCGAAACCGAAACGTCGCTCGATCACTGGGGTTTATCGAGGGTTCGTTCGTGTTTCCATGAACCTTTTCAAGACTCGACCTTTTGATGTTAACGATTTTCCACCTGATACTTTAGGGCATTATGCCGAACACAATTTCAAAGATATCACGAATGAATGTATTGTTTGCGTACGAGAACAGAACCAACTTAGATCCGGGTTCAAGGAATTCAACTAAAAGGAACATTTGGGCCGGAATCGCCGATGAAAATGGAAATCTACTACAAAGTGTGCCTTTGATTGAGAACGAAGAAATAGGTGAGGTCAACGGGATACTTGAGATTAAAAACACGGGTCATCAGTTGGTGGCCAATGGTGATAACTTTGTATACGTAAGTGTCAAAAAGTTTAAGCGGGACTTTTTTTGCAAGAATGCCTAGGCAGTCAACTAACTTAAATCTGATCAATTAGGTTTATTACCGAGGGATTTCGGAGAGGTGTAATACAATTGCGTGGAAGGTGTATAAAGATAAAACTCTGGTAGGTTCAAATCAATTTAACACCACTGTAGAATATGGATGCGTCAAATCCTCTAATGCCATTCCAACGATGGACGGTGGATTCTTGATCGTTTGGTCGGTTACAATTCCTCCTATAAACACGAACGGTTCGAACTCGCAACGAGCCCAAAGTCAGGTGTATGCTGTATTCCTGGTACCAGACAGCGCCAGCATCAAGACCAATCCGTTCGTGATATTTACGGGTGTCGCGGCACGCGGGATAGAAATTCTAGCGTGCGCGGGATCTGAGATTGGGAAGGGATTTAACTGTTTCTTGAAATTATTAACAAGTGAGAACAAGAGTGGAAATCCATATCAAGTCACTTTTTTATCAAGTGGGATGGTTTATGATGTTATATACCTCGGATCGAATACCACAAATGTCCAGGCATCTTTTGGAGATTGGTTTGCCTTGCCTTTAAAGTAATTGTCACCGTCGTGATAATTGATATTTGTATGAATCTCGAGAACTGCGTGCTCAGGTTCTATCATTTGCCATAGATACGGAGGTTTTCTTTTAATTTATAGTAATATAGATCAGAGATTCGACTTTAAAAATCCTTCGACGCAAGGTATCATCAATGTTTTTTCAACGGATGGTAAGCTAATCAAAGAACGAACCACGCACGGGATTTATACTGGTGGTGCCTGCATTTTCCAAAATAATACTGCGGTTCTTACCGGCATCCCGTCAGATTGGTGGAATTCGGGGTCTCCGAGAGGCTATGTCCTATATACCATGAGTCTACCCACGTTTCTTGACAGAGGTACGTATACATAAAGCGTGCACCGCTATACATAACATGCTATTTTTTTTTAAGTGGCATGTACAGTACACTCGAATTATCTGTTCAAGCCATACGCATAAATGATGGACGAAATATCACCACCGGTTATTGCTTAATTCTTAGATGACGGATATCATAACCTAAATATTCTCTCGTCAAAACCTGCAATAAAAGCCACAGACGTACCAACAACATCTGACTCCACGTCTTTTAACTTAAGCCTCAATTATCGGGGTCGAGTCGTGCTTTCTGGTCGTGGCAGCATAAACGTATATCAATCAGGATACGATGAAGTACCGAGGCTAACGATACCTAGCAGCTTTATAACAGTCATTAATAACCTTAATTTCACCACCTTCGAGGTGGATTTGTTTCCGAGTACATTGAATCTTCCGAATACAGAGTATTACGTTACGGTGGATGATGGAATGGTGCTGAATGCGAATTTGTTCGAACCTTTGCCCGGTATAAAGCCTGGTGTTTGGAATTTCACTACTGGTAAGTGCCGAGATTGTCAGAATTTACATTCGATAACGGTAACACATGCGCCCGTCTTTATTCTTCCTAATCAAACCTTCAGCTTTTGAGAAAACTTTATACTCTGGTAATTTTCGCCATGCATGCATGTATCGAATGCAATTAAAAATTTTTTTAATTTACTAAATTCAATCCTTTTACCAAAAAAAAAAAAAGAGGCTATCACAGTGGTCCTTAGGTTTGACCCTAAGTCCAGACAGAACTTTGTCACGAATACTTCTGCAACGTTAAAGGAAATTCACACAGAGATCTCGAGGTTCCTTCCTGTAGAGATTGAACGCATATCGACTCCCAACTCTGCATGGTATTACGACCAAGGATTAGATCACGATTACATTTTAGTTCCCATCACAATTGAACCTGGAGACCCACCGCCATTAAGACTCTCTTCTGATCTCGAAGATTTGATTTTTAACCTACCATTCACCAACATGAAGAATGGAACCTTAACATCCATGTTAGATTCAAAATATGGAGCACAGATTCAATCCAATTTTTGGGTTGAAAACAGAGCCGTGTTGATACTGGCAGGTGTCGCGGTTTTATTGGTTATATTATTGTATATTGCCGCAGAGTGGAAAGATCCTAATGCCAGAAATTTCGCCGTACCCCAATTTGTCTTGATACTGGCGGACTTCTCTCTAGGTGAGTCTGGTTTCTGTGCCTTCACTTCGGCTGCAATTCATTGGGCTCATTGGTCATATTAAAACCATACATCGCATCCCCACATAGACTTGATCTTTCTTGTGACTCATTCTCAAGACGTACCGTTCCTTTTCGTCCCATCCTTGATATTTTCAATTGTACCATTAACCTTCAATTTCTTTTGGTCAGCTGGCACGGTGATCAGAGAAGCATTTTACAACGAAGAATTCTTGCGTTGGTTCAAGTTGAATACCGCTATCGCGTCGGCATTCACGGTGTTGGGATCAACGGAAGTTGAGGTGCTGAGCATTTTGAATTCGAGAGTTGGTGGGATTAAAACATTGCAAGCTCCGTGGAGCGATCGAGCAAGTAAGATGATATTCATTGGTAGTTTTATTGGATTTTTTTTTGAAGACGTACCTCAATTCGTAATCCAGGTACGTGCATTATACATTCGCGTATTCGGTACCAAATTCCTTTATTAATTCGGATGTCATTCTGTAATTAGATTCTATACAAACTGAACACGGCAAGTTATAGCATCATTCCTTTCTTAACACTAGCAACAGCGTCTCTGGTGATACTACACGCGATCGTCGATAAATTATATTTAGGCATTGCAAGATGGCGAAAATCGAAGCATCAATATGAATCACCGAAGGGTGGTGAAGAGGCATGGAGGGAATTAATGGTCGAAGTTGATAAATTTGCAAAGGAATATCAAGAAAAATCTCGTAAGAGCATTGCAGCTGCCGAGAAAAGAGCGAGAGAGAAGAAAGACAGTGGCAGTAGTCGAGGATCCATATTGAAAGGAGGAAATTATAGAGACAAAGGGAAAAAACGAGAGGATGATGGCGGAAACGGTGGCGCTGTGAGTATGGCCGGTAGTGGCGCAGAGCGGTACGAGAGAGGTGGTGGTGGGGGTGGGAGTGGGAGTGGCGAGGAGGAACATAGGGTGAGCGGTGAGGATAGAAAGGATGACCATGAAATTGTATAGGTTTTTCTCCGTTCTCTGACGACATAACTGTGTTGTGAGGAACATTCACTTTAAAGAAAATCACCTTGTATTATTTTTATATTTTAACTGCGCTCACCGAAATTATCCTGGTACCTATCGTAGCATACATCCCTCAATTATTTATTTATTCATTTATATTTCCTATTATTCAGAATATAAACCTTTGGTTTCAGATTTTCTATTTAATCGCTCAAGTTGAGATGCGCACACGTAACATGTACTGTACAATACAGTACATGCAACCTCGAAACTTTCAACCAGTCTATATTTCCAAATGGTTAAAATGCTAGAACCGCTTACCGAAGATGGCTTAAAATATGACACCCGCTGGGTTAGAAATATTGTACATTGTACGTACGGCACTTGCACGTACAGCACAGCTTGAAATTTGGTCACATGATTTCATAAATTCGTGATTTTTTACACACATAATACATCACTATTTTGTCTTATACAATACGGGATAGTTTTAACAGAGTATTATATCTGAAGCTAGATATAAATTGGAGTTGATAAATTATTCCCACAGTGATCTGATGAATTCAATCCTCGGATCTGTTGGTAAAAAAGATTTAAATTTTCCTTCCCTTGATCTTTCCTAGTGAATGCACGGGAAAGATTGTCACCTCAATTTTCTTCGCCACATAACTTCTTTATTTCACATTTCCTTCATAAAAACATACAATATGATCGGCTTTGGCAGGGAAAATCGTTCACAATTTGAGTTCAAGGTTTCAAGTGTCTCGCTGCTCCGTCACGAAACCTATAGTCCTCCGTTTGCGAATGATCTTTTGTCGAATCAACTTTGGTACATTGTCATCAAGCCGGTAAATACCTTCAAGAAAAGATTTTCATTTCTTTCCAAACATTTGTTTATTGATTGGGATTGAAAATTTTCAGCTACATGAGTATTGCGCCTTATACCTGGAGCCGCTTCACAGAAAGAATGCCTCGCAGGCTGAAATCTTCATGGCAAGATTGACGAGATGTATTTACAAGATTTATGTCAGGAAGTTGGACGGTGCTGAGATCATTCCAATAAGTAGTAACAAGGAGGGTAGGATGATCATACTCAATAACTTCTTTTGACACAAAAAAATCTATATTCCGTTCACCTTTCTCATGATATTTCTAAATTCAGGAACTTATATGGTGTACAAAAAGTCCTCCTTGATGGAGACGATGTTGGTAGGCGTGAAAATGCCTATAACATGTGTTACCAAAAATCCCGTGATTCCCAAGTTTATTGCGAAGCTAATTTCACCAAAATTGCGCGACTCCTGGGGGAAAGAATCGCATCTTTCCGATACGGCTGACGTAATGTTTATAATTGGTGAAGACGGCGAAAAATTGTTTGCAAACAGTGCAATCCTTGCCAAGAAATCCAAGTATTTTGGAACCTTATTCGAAGAAAATTTTGGCGATTGTGTCCCAATAAATGAAAGTTTGTTGGAAGGAAAGGATAGAACCTCTCAACAGCAATATGAAATCAGAATCCTTGATTTCTCTTATGAAACTGTACTTCAGATGCTTCGATTCATCTACACCGGAGAGGCATACATATCAACTAGGGAAGAAATTTATGATATTTTCAGCATAGCAGAAAAATACATGGTCACCGCACTAAAACATAAATCCAGAAGAATTATATCAGGACTGCTCAACGTTGAAACGGCAGCCGAGATCTTGTTCAAGCACGCATGGAAGCATCCAGAGTTGAAAAGAGAGGTGATGGACTTTATGATCAAGAATTTTTCTCAAGTCAGAAAGACGGATGGGTATAAGAGATGCGTTAGAAATTATACCGAGTGTCCAATGTTTTCGGTGCTAAAATTTGAGATTCTGATGGCTTCTCTACCGGAGCCTTGATTTTGGTTTGACGATGTAGGGATATATCTCATGAACGTTGAGTGTTCACGAAATCATCATCCGTACTTTCTAATTACGTGATTTTCCTGCAATTATTCATGGGATTACCGGTTCACGGAGTAGCAACTTTTTTTTTCACATATCATTAACAATAACTTATTTAAAGCTATATTAGATAGATAATTTAACATTATTATATAAATATCACTTGCTTCAAAGAAAGAGTCACTTGGATAACCGTGGAATGCATTGAATTAATTGCGACCTCAAGATTTCGCGCATATTTGAGGCACCGAACTAATCTTAAGGTTTTGCGTGTATATTATTCTCACGGCGAGTCTGTCGTTCTTCAATTCCATGCGCCGCGTGATGCACCACATTAACAAATCGCTCGCTTGGTGTGCTTTATCAAAAGGATATTATTTAATTAAGCTTGACGAATTAAGGATACAAATTTTTGGTTATTTCATTATTATTCGCACTTTTCTTGTAATACTATATTTAGGGTTGTTAATTGTTTGGTTTAAAATTAATCTTAATAAAAATAATAAATTCTTCAATCCTTAAATCATGCCGCTAAACAATTATGATAAATTTAAGGATTCGATCTTTTATAAATTCTGGGATTCGTTTGTTTCTTTTGTTAAGTAAAATCTAAAAATAACATCAGTAACTACGTATTAACAAAAAATTTTTTATTTGAAAAACTTGTTTAAAACTTGCATTTTCTATAAGCTAAAGGATCTATAAGCGAAAAATTAAAATTTTCTTCTAACAATACAATGATGATCAGGAAAAGAAATGAGCACCTGTTCATGAATCAACTAATAATGGCAATAAATATAAAATAGGTGTACAAGTATTTAATAGCTAAATTGTAATATTTCTAAAGATCTGATTTCTAAAATAAATAAAGTAAAAGTAAATATATAGATTAACCAAAAATTTTTTGAATTAATATTTGTACTGAAGAACTTGATTTATATTACGAGCTCTTATATTAATAGATAAGAAATAGATTATAAAATATATATATATATATATTAAATTTAAATAATTTCAATTTACAGTATATTAAATACAGTATATTATATATAGTACAGTAAAACCTCTTTAAATGCAACCCCTAAATGTAACTACTAAATTTAAATCTCTCTAAATGCAAATACCAACATGATTTTAAGTTATAAGTTAAATTAAAAGTTTATTTTTTATAAATTCAAAACTCTTATAAAAAAATTTTTTTTAAATTTTCTTATAGTTCTATTATATTGCATTTAAAGAAGTTTTATTATATATATCATATAAAATAGTTTAAAAAAAAAATCAAAATTTTCTTAACATAATAAAATTTATAAAATTTATTTAAATTAAATTAAACTTAAATAATTGATAAATTTCATTAAAAAGAATATTATTAATGTGATTAAAAATCTTTTGAAAATGCTTTAAATTAATTTAACAATTTATTTTTTTTTAAAGATAATTAATGTATCAAATTGTTATAAAATAAAACTCTTTTCACTGATTTCCATTTTTTCAGAAAATTTTCTTTTTTAGTAATTTTTTTGAAAAAAGAGAAGCCAGTTCAAAAAAAACAAGAGAAAACTAATATCAAAGACTATATACTTATAAAAAACACTATATAAATAACTAATTATATTATAGAAACAAGTAAGTACTTAAAAACTTCCAACCTTTTTATACAAAATTTTCTTTTTTAGGAAAAACAAACAAAGATAAAAACTGAATCACAGCAAGCTCTTGGAAGCCTAACATCAATCTTACAAAGCTCTTAGCCAGGTCAGTACAGGTTAACATCTTTCTAGATACCAAGAGAAACCTTACAAGCAATAATTTAGATTAATAAATCAGTTTAAACTCAAATACTCATAAAATTCAAAAGAATATTCAAGCTTCATTAACTATATAGTAAAAAAGTACATACATCACAACAAACAAAATTTTAACAAATACAATATCACACAAATACATATACATATATTTCTTCAAAAAAAACAAGATTAACAAGATATGTCTAAATAAACAATGTTTACAAATTATCTACATATTTAACAGTAAAAAAATTAATAATACTCATATTTTTATATATTCATAATAGCTGATCAATAATAATAACATTATTATTATAATAAATATATAAAATATAATCTAAATTTATAACACAACTTTAAGGTTTTTTTGCATTACCAAATTAGTAACAAGAAATAAACAAACCTTTATCACATATTAGAAATAATAAAACACATATTAAATCTATTAATCTGTGATATGTGACAAGTACAATAATGTCAACAATACAAAGATTACTACAGATCATAAAAAAATATAAAATTCATATTCTAGAAACTCTAATAAACTTATCAAACAAATATGATTAAGGAAAAAAAACTATAAGCAATACAAACAATTCTCAATATAATCTCTATACAAAAAGACAATTCTAACCTAGCTTCCAGTCCTACAAGATACTCAATTCTAGATAGTATTATAGCTAAAATTCTCAATATTGACATATTGCTTTCACTAAAACTATAATTCTAAGACAATATATCCTATACTTATAGATTCAAGAACAAGAAAAAGAAAATGATTAATTTATAAAATGATATCAAATAGTTGTATACACAACAAACAAATCCATAGGCTCAAAAGAGTATAGGCAATCCAATTTGAAAGTCATATAACAATACTGTTCTATCAATTAAATAACAGTGAAGCTTTAAGAATTGCAATAGTTATCTGATTTAAACAAAGTTCACTCAAATACTGAAAGCCCAAAAACATATTTGATAATTTAGTAAAAGTCAAGACAATTGAGAAAGATAATCTTGTTGCTATAACTCTGACTATAGCAAAGAAACTACAAATTACATATAACAATTGAAGATAAAAAAAGATCTTTGATATTCAAGAAAGTATCATGTATATCAATACAATAATAAATAATGATAAAGAATACATAAAAGCCATCTTTTCTCTAAAAAGAAATAAAATAAAGTTTTTAAATCAGCTAATTAATATAACTATACTAACAATAAGCAAATAGAAAGCAGTTCAAATTTTTGTTAATATTTGTAAAGGTTCTATTTCAAGCTGATATACATAAATTAGAGCAAAGATGACAGAACAATAAGACTTGCTAAAACAGTCCTACTGAACCCTAAAATGAATTAAATATGAACTTTAAATAGCAAAGATGATCCTTAAAACTGTCAAATGAAAAATTAATTGGGGAGTTTTAATTAAAACAACAGGAATTACTATAGAAAAAATCAAAATACAAAACAGAGGAGTACTTTTCACACTATATTAGCTTATTTACAATTTTATTATAAATAGTACTACTAATATTCTTATACATTCAAATAACTAACAATTTCACACACATCTCAAACCTAATTATTATTGCAACTAAATAGACAAAAAAGTATTTGAAAAAAGAATCTACTTACACTTCTAGGAAACCTCACAGACTGGTAGCCTACAGTATCAATAAATGGATCAAGTATTACATATTCATTGGAATCAGAAGAGATTAAGATATAAATAGAGAATTAGAAAGTCAAACTAATTAAACAGACCATACAATCAGAGAAACATATAACAAATCTAATAAAGAGTCTTAGACACAACTATAAAAGTAATACAAAGCAATTTATTTTCTTTACTAATGGATCTTATAAATAATGTGCAAAAAGTGAGAATGAACTTAAAATGAATCTTGCATGGATTCAAATTGAGAACAACATAATAATTAATCAATTCTTAGCAGGAACAGCACATGGCTATTAGCTACAAGAGCAGAAATCTTAGCCATACTAACTGCAATCTTTACAATACCTGAAAATAAAAAAGTAACCATATATACAAATTGTAGTGCCACTATCAAAATATGGAAAAAAATTCAGTTACAAAAGTTTATTTCTATAAAAAAATGAACTAAAATAATCAATTGGCCACTATGAAATCAAATCAAGGACCTAGTATAAAAAAAAAACCTTTGCCTTATACTTGAAAAGATCAAGATCTATTAAGACAATAAGTTTAACAATATAGTAGACAGGTTAGCAAAGCAGGTCAGAAGAGAAAACCCTTTGATTTATCAATAACACTTGATTTGAATCAAGTTCTTAAAATAATAGCTTGAAAAGAATATACTATTAATATCAGTATTAGAAATTTTCTTAAAAAATGGAACACTAAGAAAATAAAACTAACCTAAACTAAGCAAAATATATTTAAAACTAATGAATACATCCTAGTAAATAAATTGACTGACAAATTTTCTAGAGACAATTCAATCCATATAATATCTTTTACACTTTTTTTCGTATTAACAAAGATTAGAGTTTTTTGATAAATCTAACTCATGATGAGCTTTCTATTCTTTAAATTATGTAGAAAAAAAAACCAGACTTATATTCAAACATAATATGCTTAATGTGCAAATCATAAGAAAAAACCCTGAAACATCTTTTTAAATGTCCCAAAACCAGAGCAAAAGATCAATTATATGGAACAAATCTCAAAGTAAAATTTTTCAGTATATCAGGAAAACAAAAGATTTATTTGATAAAAGTCAGGCAGAAGTTAAAAAAATAATAGGAAAACATTAAACAATAAAATGAAAGCTTATATAACACAGCCTGTAGCTTTATAAATATAGACAAAACCAAGATTTTAAAAGAGCATTTCAAAGTTCTCAAGATCTCAGGAACAACAACACAAGAGACTATTGGTAAATTTTGTAAAAAAATAAGGAAGATCTTCAAGAAGGAAGTCCGAAACAAGCATTGTAGCATTACTATTAAATGAAAACAAAACCAAAAAATTATCAACAAACTCAAAAGGCTTAGAGTACTAGCTGATATGATAAGAAAAATAAATTGAGTCACTAAGAAAGCCAATCACTTCTTTTTTTTTAAAGCTGGTAAAGTCATGCTATATAGTTTTTATTTAATCATTAATATTCTCTT